TTCGTCTCTTCCTCTCCCCCTGCAGGTTCTCTCTCTCTCTTCACGAGGACCACCCCCTCCCTCTTACCCCCACCTGCGAGCACCCACTTTCTCTCTTCTCTCCCTTTTCTTCTTCTTTTATTGCGTTAGTCAATCAGGTTTTACTCCATTTCCGGCGTCCTACTGAGCGGATTCGGTTGCCCAGGACCTTTATTGCTCCGATCTGGTTGTCGTCGGCCTTCACCCTCGTAGATCCGACATTCACGACCATCAACTCGCTATTTTGAACAAAAACCGGGGTCGACCACCGGTGGTTTTGCTTATTAACCCCGGTTTTTTATTTCTCCGGTTTCTGGTGTTGAACCAAACCGGCTGTGGTGCGGGTCGCGGTCGAACCGGTCGGACCAATAAGCAAAGCGGCCTCCAAGCCCAAACACATTCAATTCATTTCCCAAACAATGCTGCTCTTCCCGCCTCCATCACCGCCACTGTTTCCCCCCGCCAAGTTCACCCCCAACCCTAGCTCGCTGGCGGCCGAGTATTCATCCGCACCGCCTTCTGGCCGCGCCGGCTGCCGCGTCTAATGAAGTTGACGCGTTCACGCAGTCCTCCGGCTACCTCTTCGACCTGAGCTCATCGGAAGCCGAATCCTTGACGGAATATAACGTATCGAGAATCGCGGCTATATATCAGAGAAAACCTTTCATTCTCCTCCGCCGACTATTCCAAAATATCCACCACTCTCGGCAAGTGGTTCGCCTTCCGATATTACGACCGCATCACCGAACGCTCAGATTTGATGTTCCAGGTCAGAATTGTGAAATTGAACCGTCTATTTTGTAGATTTGAGTGCTATTTTTGAAATTCAATTGATTTTCCTGGTTTGTAAATATAGTTCCAAAATTAGGCATATCCATGTGGCGGAATACCTTCCTGGTTCTAGTTCTTCCGACTGTGTCAGTATTCAACTAGACAGATTGTTGATGTTGATTTTTATTTTTGGATAATTTGAAGCAGTGGTTATTAAAACACTAATTTGTCGTTGATTTTGATATCACCATCTGATAGTGTTTTTTTTAGCAATTTTACTCTAGAAAAGAAAGTCTTATGGTGGTGTTTTTCTGAACTCGATTAGTTATTGATTAGCGTATTATTTGGGCCTCTGAAAATTTTGTTTAGACATTCCAAGGTGATAGGCACTTGTAGAAGTTACCATGTTGTACCTTTTGGTCAATTGTAACCAATCTCTCAGGCTTATCTATTTTCCAAAATCAGTTTTCCATGTGTTTTTCTGTTGTAATTTAAAGGAATGATAGTACTAGTTCTAATGTTTTTTGGAGCAAACAAGATGATATACTTATGATTTGAGGCAGTTTATTTTTCATGAACACAAAAGGTATATATATTTTTCATATTTAGACTTATACTCGTCTGTTGCATGCAGCTCGCCCTTCTCAACATTTGGATTTGGACCTCTATGCACTCCAGTTTAACATTTAACATTTAATATGAGTTGAAATTAAATCTCAACCAACAAACATAAAAAAAAAAAAAAACTTATGCCTGTCTACATATGGAAATTGTCATAATCGATGTATAGACGAACGATGATAGGTTGTCGGATGATTGCCCTCAAAAGGGGCTTCTTCATTCTTATACTCCACAATTTTAAACCCGTCAATCGTCACAATATCCTTTCGTAACTATAATGTTACAAATAAGTAATTTGAGTCAAAATTCAACTTCTGTAAAAACGATGAAATACAAAGAGTATGATACTTACTCGATCTCGTTTGCATTTCCCACTATCGCCTGTATAGGGATAGTTCCTCTAGTAGGAAA